GGCGGCGCTGCAGCGCCACGACCCCTACATCAGCCGCATCGTGGACGTGGCCAGCCAGGTGGCTCTGTACACGTTCGGCCACCGCGCCAACGAGTGGGTGCGTGCGGGGCCGGGGCGGGGGCGGGGGCGGGGGCGGGGGAGGCGGCGGGGCGGGGAGGCGGCGGCGGGGGCGGGGAGGGGGGCGGCGGGGGCGGCGGGCGGCGGCGGGGGGGGGCGGGCGGCGGGGCATGGGGGGGCGGGGGCGGCGGGCGGCGGGGGGGGGGGGGGGCGGGCGGCGGGGCATGGGGGGGCGGGGGCGGCGGGCGGCGGCGGGGGGGGGGGGCGGGCGGCGGGGGGGGGGGGGGGCGGGCGGCGGGGCATGTGGGGGCGGGGGCGGCGGGCGGCGGCGGGGGGGGGCGGGCGGCGGCGGGGGCGGGCGGCGGGGCATGTGGGGGCGGGGGGGGGGCGGGCGGCGGGGCATGGGGGGGCGGGGGCGGCGGGGGCGGGCGGCGGGGCATGTGGGGGCGGGGGCGGCGGGGCATGGGCAGGGGCGGCGGGGGGGGGGGCGGGGGCGGCGGGGCCGGGGCGGCGGCGGGGGTGGGGGGGCGGGGAAGGCGGGGCCGGGGCGGCGGCGGGGGGGGGGGGGGCGGGGGCCGGGGCGGGAGGCTCGGGGCGGAGGTCCGGACCCTTCAGACGCCCGGTGCTGCGGTGCGGGACCCCAAGAGCTGAGGGGGGCCGAGTCCCAGCGAGGCCGAGCCCCGCACCCCGGCCCTCGGACCCCCTCAGACCCCCTCACACCCCATCACACCCCCTCAGACCCCGGCCCTCAGACCCCCTCAGACCCCGGCCCTCAGACCCCCTCAGACCCCGGCCCTCAGACCCCGGCCGTCAGACCCCCTCAGACCCCCTCAGACCCCGGCCCTCAGACCCCGACTCTCAGACCCCCTCAGACCCCGGCCCTCAGACCCCCTCAGACCCCCTCAGACCCCGGCCCTCAGACCCCGACTCTCAGACCCCCTCAGACCCCGGCCCTCAGACCCCCTCAGACCCCCTCAGACCCCGGCCCTCAGACCCCGACCCTCAGACCCCCTCAGACCCCGGCCCTCAGACCCCCTCAGACCCCGGCCCTCAGACCCCGGCCCTCAGACCCCCTCAGACCCCCTCAGACCCCGACCCTCAGACCCCCTCAGACCCCGACCCTCAGACCCCCTCAGACCCCGGCCCTCAGACCCCCTCAGACCCCGACTCTCAGATCCCGACCCTCAGACCCCCTCAGACCCCGGCCCTCAGACCCCCTCAGACCCCGGCCCTCAGACCACCTCAGACCCCGGCCCTCAGACCCCCTCAGACCCCGACCCTCAGACCTCCTCAGACCCCCTCAGACCCCCTCAGACCCCGGCCCTCAGACCCCGACCCTCAGACCCCGGCCCTCAGACCCCGACCCTCAGACCCCCTCAGACCCCGACCCTCAGACCCCCTCAGACCCCGACCCTCAGACCCCCTCAGACCCCCTCAGTCCCCGACCCTCAGACCCCCTCAGACCCCGACCCTCAGACCCCCTCAGACCCCCTCAGACCCCGACCCTCAGACCCCCTCAGACCCCGGTCCTCAGACCCCCTCAGACCCCGGCCCTCAGACCCCCTCAGACCCCGACCCTCAGACCCCCTCAGACCCCGACTCTCAGAACCCGGCCCTGAACCCCTCGGACCCTGACCCTCAGACCCCGGCCCTCGGAGCCCCTTGGACCCCGGCCCTCTACCTCCCGCACCCCGACCCTCAGCAGACTTGGGGGGCTGTGGCGTGGCCCGTGTGACCAAGCACACTAAATATGTCATATATTGGGGAGGGGAATGGGGCTGGGACACCACCCAGCCTTGGAGCTGCACTGCTGGACTTCTCCCGGATGCACCACCCAGCAGTGACGGCCTGACTCTTGGTGCTTCCACAGCCAGAGGAACACTTTTAATTTTGTAACCCACCCTACTTTTTTCTCACGGTAATTTTTATGCAAAATTATATCATTATATAACTACCTATTATATTCAAATGAGTTCCAGAGCCAGGTAAGGATTTCAGTGGAATGTTCTCTATCCGCTTTCTCCAAGTCAGAAACACCCATGAACATGGGAGCCAGGGAGCCATCGCCCTGAGCATGTCCCCAGCCTGGACAGGAGCTAACCAGGGCATCCTGCACACAGAACCAGAGGGAGAAGGAAATTGGGGGCACAGCATTCACCTTACTTGGGGGAGACCCTGGAGTCCATCCCTAGCACCCCCCACAAAAAAAGAACAGAAAAAGGAAAAGAACCCCCAGGTTCTTCACAGTTTTGTTTTTAAGTTCTTGATGCAAAGAATCTAAGTCTGCTTTCCTAGCAGCCAAACTCAAACACAAAAACAAGAGTTCTCTAGTAGTAGTGGTTTAGCTGTAGGACCTAATGACACCTGACCAGGAGGCAAGCTGTTCCCAGTCACCTGGGAGATCATTGCCTACTTTACCTAAAAAAGCAGTGAGCAACAGTGGACAGTCTCTTCCACACTAAAACATAAATGTGTATGCGCAGGTATATGTGCGTATGCATATATACGTACATATACTTGTGTGTATGTATACACATACTGCTGCACACCCAAGTGCTGGGCTGTGGACAGGTCCTTAACCCTACAGATCGGCCTCCATAATGGCTGCAAGAGTGGGCAGGTCTCTGTCTCTGGAGAGCGTACACAGATGGGTGTGTTGCACACACAGATGGGGATGTGTTGCATGCGTGGACGGGGTGTTGCACGCACAGATGGCTGTGTTTCTGTCTTCCAGGAGAAGACCGACGTGGAAGGAACGCTGTTTGTGTACACAAGGTAAGACTGGTTTCCTCTCAGAATGGGCTGGTTTGGTTTTGTTGTCACATGTCTCCAAGTTCAGCCTTGTTACAAAGAGGAATAACACAGAGGAATTCTGGTTTGAAGCTTAGCTGGCAGCAGGAAGGGGCCACCACGTGACCCTGGCTGTGAGTCCTCATGGTGCTCACAGAGGCTGTGGACTGTTGTTCTGTGGCTCGGGACAGTGCACACCGTTCTTGGAGAGCAGGCCGGGCGGGGCTAGATCCCCCTTGCTGGTATCTGGAAAGAGCGTCACCAGCCCCCTTTCCCACCCAACTGCTCAGACAAGCACCATCCACAACTGAAGAGCTCTGCTCAGAGCCCGGGACTGACCAGAGCTGTCCCTTCTGCGGGCACACACGACACACACAGCTGTGGGGCTGACAGCGCACAGCAGCAGTAAACACCAGATCCTCAGCCTGTCCTGCACTCCGAGCCCAGAGCCTCAACACGATCGCCTCCGTCCACGCTGCTGGTCCTCGTCTGGCCTCCCTGTCGTGTCCACCCCGGTGTGGCCATCCTGGTGTCATGCCCCTCCCCAGCGGCCCGGCACCCGTGCTTCCTCCTCTTGTCAGCACCTTGCCCGCCCTGTGCCCAGTACAAGTCCAGCCCGAGCCCCTCCCAGGGTTTCATTCACACGTGAACCGCAGTGCAGGATACACCACCACAAGAGACGGGAGGTGACAAGGTAGGCTTGGCACTAGGTGGTCACAGAGGGACAGTGCCTGGCCACCATGGGGTCACGGCAAGGGGACACCCTGGCGAGGACCTGTGTCTGCCTGGGTCACCCAGCGGCAGGTGAGGCCGCGTGCAGTGGTGTGGGCTCAGCACGCTCACCTGCGGTGAGCGCTGCATTCCGGGCACAGGCGGGGCATTCCCTTGCCACTAGCCATCCCCAGGCGCCTCGCCGCATGGCTGTTACCAGGCAGACCCAGCCCGAGCCCGAGCCACCGCCATCAGCACCTGTGCTGTGTCACTCGGGTGCTTTCCGCTTAATGCGAAAGCAGCCAAGATTATTGAATGAAATGAACAACAACAACAAAAATACTGAGTGCCACATGTTTATTGAGAGCAATCTGTATAAGAGTGTATCCATGAAGCTGTTGCTTTATATGGAAGAAAGAAAACGCACATTCCCTCACATAAACTTCACTTATGGTCTGTCTCACAACTGCATTGGACCACCATTCAACTTTATAATTCGTTTCAGGCAATATTTAACGTTTTGTGTGGAAATTTCTTGGTATAATTTTGATGTATGCTCTGTGAACTACCAAGATCCTCTAAAACTATGTTAGAAAGATTTTAATAAATAATTACCAGCAGATGCTGGTGGCTCACATCTGTAATCCCAGCTACCCAAGATCTGAGGATCATGGTTCGAAGCCAGCCCAAGCAGGAAAGTCCTTGAAACTGTTATTGCCAATTAACCACCTGAAAACCAGAAGTGGAACTGTGGCACCAGTTGAGCAAAAAAGCTCAGGGACAACACCCAGACCATGAGATCAAGCCTCACAACTGAAAAAAAAAAAGTTACTGCCTTAAAGGAATTTACCAATAGGGATACAGACACACACACACACACACACACACACACACACACACGAGCTATTTTACTCAGGACAACCTGTCACTTAGGTGGTGATACATATTATATGTGTGTATATAATGGTGCTCACTGCAGAAATGCTGCTTTACATGAGTGCAGTCTGCATATGTGAATCTGTATACACACCTGAAGTTGTGTGTGAAACAGTACACACAAGGTTAGCATGTGCAGCCTGTATTTGAAGCTACATACAAAAGGTTACTTGTGTGCAGTCTGCATGTGTGGGACTGTTTGTGTAGAATGTTATGTGTGCAGTCCATGTACATGGGACCATATGCACAGATGTGTGCAGTCTGTGAAGGACCGCATGTGCAGAAAGTCGCATGCCATCCACGTGTGTGTGCACAGCAGGTGGAGGAGGCTTGCTGTAGGCCCCATGCACTAAGCGCTGTCCTTACCCTTTGTGATCCCCAGGTCGGCGTCTCCCAAGTATGGGTTCACCATCATGAACAGGCTGAGTATGGAGAACAGGACAGAGCCCATCACTAAAGACTTGGACCTCCAGCTCCAGGACCCCTTCCTCCTCTACAGAAATGCCAGATGTGAGTCTTGCACCGCGTGCTGTGGTATTACTTCTGAGGTTCGGCTGCGTGTCTGTCTTTGCATTCCTGCTTAGGGCTCAGCGTTTGCTAGTTTGGGAATGTTTAGCTTTGAGTGCAAGGCTGCCATGCCCTATGGCAGAGGCGGGAGCGTGGTCAGGATGCTGTGGACGCCTGGCTGGCAGCACCTTTCCCTCAGTCCCTATGACCAGGCACACAGATTAAGTGGGAGAGCCCGTACTCGAGAGATGCTGTCTGTGAATTCTTGATACATGCAAAATCCAAGTCCACAGGGTTTCAGCCTGTGGTCATATTGGAGTCACAGGAGCTAAGCACATAGTCTGGTTATATGTGAGGTGCAGAGGCACACGAATCTCCTGTCCTTGCTCCTCCAGCCTGACCACCTGTGTCGGGCCAGAGAGAGATTGATGCACCGCCTGCCTTCAGGGGCTTCGCATAGAGCGGGAGGAGCACTATCCAGTATGTACGTGTGTGTGTGTGTGTGAGTGTGAGCTTGTGTGCACGGGTGAAAGTGTAGCCTCACTTAGAATCAAGTCGTCCTGGTGCATGGGTTGCTCTCACATTCAGAGAATACAGGTTGGATTTTATAGGAGGAAATGGAAGCCATTCAGGTGAACCCTGGCTTTCCAGGGATCCTGGGGCAGGCAGGCAGGCAGGCAGGCAAGCAACATAGGGCGATATAAAGAGCAATGTGGGGAGAGGGTGGTAGCGGGAGAACGGTGCACACAGCCATGCGTAGAGCGAGAGACGGCTGGCTGCTGCCATCCGAGTGCTGTTCCCTAGCAGGTGTCATTGATGAGGTACGGAATGCGGTCTGAGTTTGTGTTATAGTTGCATCAGGTTTTATTTTCCTTTACGGACTGTCTGCTTCTGAGCTGAGTCACTACCTAATTCAGATCTTAAGAAAGTAACAAAAACACAGAACCCATGCCACGAGTGTGCGTCCCCGCCATCTGCGTTCGCTTTTATTCCAGGTAGGTGCTTGGACAGGGTGTGGCCTGTGGCCATCTCCAAGCGGCCCGCTGGGTGGACAGAGCTGTCCCATTTCCCAGAGACTCGGCACAAAAAGAAAAAGAACATGGAAAAAAAAAAACACCTTGTTAATTTTTTGTCAATCAGTTGACATGTTAAGATGGTGCTATATTGGGTTAAATAAAATGGGTTCCTAAGCTTGTGCCCACTTTGTTGTGTTTTTTAAGTTAGGGTTACGTGTGTGGCTCCCTCCTGTTCCTGCTGAACCTCACTGCTCTGGCTCATGTGCCCAACTTCCACACCTGCCGCTCCTTTCCAGGGTAATAGTCACACTTTGTGCGTGCAAAAGCCGAGACCCAGCAAGGTGACTGATGGACGGGTCACACACACACCCAGCATGCATCTTCGAGGTCTGCGGTGCCCTCAGCTAGGACTGCTGCTCCTTCCCTGCTATGGGCTATGAAGGACGGGAGTAGGTGTGTAACACAAGTGTGCAGGCCAGGTGGGTGGCAAATCTCCCTCACCCCCCGCCCCCTGGAGACAGCTGCTGTCTCCCACGGTCAGAGAAGAAAGGATTATTTCAGAAAATCTGGAAACCCCAAAATAAGCCTTTTCCTGAGTAGAAGGATTCACCTTCTGTTTTTCTCCCCATAGTCAGTTTTTAAAGCTGGATGTGGTGGTGCACACCTGTAATCCTGGCACTAGCGAGGCTGAAACACGAGGATCTCCAGTTCCAGGCCAGCCTGGCGACCCAGCGAGGCCCTGTCTCCAAAGAGCCATTTAGATGCCACTTTCTAGCTTCTGACCTGCCAGCCTTTCTCTAAAACATATTGCACAGTAAGCAATGAGCAGTGATGGAGCTCAGTTATATTATACAGCTTTTATAAAGTACTTAAACCTTCAAGCTCCATTTGAAAGACAGCAGTAAGAGTCAAATTATCTGCAAACAAGAGTGGGCCAGAATTCGGAAGCCGCATGCACAGCATGGAAGCTGCCTGTGAACCAGAAGGAAACCAGCCACCCCAGCGGAGTGCAGGCCCCTGCCAGGCACCGGCCGCCCCACCTCCCACTGTGTTCAGTGACACCAGATGATGGCAGAAAACAAACAGAGCTGGACCTGAAGGAATCTCCCAGTCCTTTCTATTCCTCTTAGTGTTACAATATTCTAGGATCGCATTGGTTCTGGGAGATTACGGCTGTCTTCCTGCTTGTGGCTGTTGACTCGGAAGGCCACCGGGTTACCTAGCTCTCCAAAACGCCATCCTGCCTCTCAGAATGGTGACAAAGCCGGGCCGCGTTACCACCCTGGCTAGCCCCGATTTGTTTTTCAGACTCCTTGTGTGTTTCAGAACACCTAGAAATGTCAAGACAATCTTCTGCCTTGTCAGATTTTAAGACCCTGAGACTTCATCGCCCCTTTTTTTAATCCAAAGCAGGGGGATTTGAACTCAAGGCCTCATATTTTCCCAGACATTTGCTCTGCCCGTGAACCATACCTCCAGCCCCTCTTTACTACTTCTTCAGCTTGGTTAGAAAAGGGTTAAAAGAACCCCGTGTAAATTTATTATGAAGACAGTGAACTCCACCCACAGGCAGTAATTTTGTTTTTCTACTTTGGGCATTGTGGCCCGAGGACGGGCTCCGTGGTGGTTCTTAGTCCTCAGTCCTTAGTTCTGCCCAAACTTCCTCCCACTTGTGGGCTACTCTGCGCCCCAGGCCTGCCCTTGGGCCTCGCCACGCTGATATGTCTCCTCGTACATGTACCCGGGGTGTTCCAGATGGTTCTGGGAGGTTATTGGACTCCAGGGGTCAGGGATCATGTGCACATCATTCTACAGCCCTCCAAACACTTGACAGTCCCCCATAGCACACACGGCCCTTTCCCTTCCCGTCTGCCCCTCGGCGTGAAGCCCCACAGTCCCTCGAGTCAGGAAGCAAGGAGGGCGGCTTCAGGTCCCACCGGGCGGGCAGTGAGGGCTGCCCTCACTAGCCTCCAGGACTTTCAGGTCTGGGCTGCTGACAAGAAAGGTAGGAGGCCACCGAAGCTTAAAAGTCACGATGTCACTAGCTCACCTCTAGCGTCTCTGAGCCGCCTCTGCCCTTTCCACAGACTTGGACTCTTCGTTACGGCCCCTTGCCCAGAGAGGTGTGTGTTCTAACAGATGCTGAAGCTGGCCCATCTACCGGACTCGTGTGCTGGACTGGGTGGCCCGACCTCAGACGCAGAGTAGCCTTTTGTTCCCCCTGCCAGTGCCTGTGCGGGCTGACGGGATGCAGACTCCCAGGAGACGATTCCTGTAAGGCACGGGTGTGCTGTGGGGTGCAGAAGGCACAGAACCATGCAGGTACGAGCTGGGTCGTGACAGCCAGCGGCGCACACGTGGGCGCCCGGGAGGCAGCCAGCGCCCCTGCATCAGGGGACGTGCACACACAGTGCAGGAACCAGCTCCCACGGCCACGGAGCCACAGACTGGCCGAGCACACCACCACGTCCCAGCGCCTTGTGGACTGGGACCCTGCCCTTGAGGCCTGGCCTTGTGTGACCTGCCATACTTGGGTCTGAGCGCCCAGTTTAGCATGGAGGAAAAAAACAACACTGGATCCCAGAAGATAAACAGTGACCTCGGCTGTGGTCGTCCCGACTGCTCTGCCTGTTCTGTGGATTCTTTCACACTTGTTTTTCGAACATAGTTGCAGATAACCAAGTTCTGGAATGAAAGCTGGAATCTGATTCACGAATGTCTGAAGCCACAGAAGGAAAACGTGTCGTGTCTCTGCGCCCTTTGGAGTTTGGGGAAAAGGAAAGCAATGTGGGCTAACGTCAGAACTACTCTGTGTACAGCCTGCGAGCTCTTATTCGGTAGCACAAAGCAGAGGGTGTGGCTTAACCGTGCACAGCATCAAGGACAGACAAAGGTCAAAAGGCAAAGCTTGAGGGCCAAGGCCCTGCTCTGTAGCCTGGCTGGCCAGAGTCTCTTGTGAAGGCCCCAGCTCTAACCAGGCTGTTAGTTAGAAGGGGGAGGGGAGCTGTTTTCACCAGCCAGGTTTCTACCCCCTCCCCCATTCTCATGAGCCTCGAGATGGACACGGCTTCCCCTCTGCCATGAGCCCTAGACCCCGAGATCCCAGCAGCCCCCGACGGGTGAGATCATGGCGCATGAGAAGAACCAGAGCAGGGGCTGAAGATAGCGGCACTGTGCGTGGCCACTGAGGCCGGTCGGGAGCTTGTTTTATGAGCCGTGTCCGTGTTTGGTCAGCAACACGGGCGCCAGAGGTGAGGAAAGAGCTGGCCAGGGCAGACATTCCAAAGGGGGCAGCAGGCGGCCTGCTCCCCATCACTGGACACTGGGACACCACGGGCTGCCCTGCCTTGCCGCCTCCACGCCGCCACCGCTGCCGCCACCGCCGCCTCCTCCCCCTCATCTCCCTCCTCCCCCCTCCCATGTGCTTCCAGCTTCCCCCCTTCTGCTCTTCCTTCCCTTTTTCCTCCGTCCACAGGAACTTTAGTTTTTAAAAAGGCGGTTCCAGCCTTTTATACCCTAGTGCAGAAGTGCCCGATGTGTAAGCAAGTGTTAGTGCTGGAGCCCCGGCCAGCTTGGGGGCTGTGCCCACCCAGGTGGCATCCAGCCCCCAGCTCCCCTGGTTCCGGGTTCCAGTCCCGTAGCTTTGTGTATCCTGATGGGCTTCCACCAAGTGTGCACCGTGCACCCCCAGCCTCTGCATCACACAGCAGCTCAAGCAGACATGCATGCCACACCTTACACCAGAAATCAAGTGTTCATCAAAGATTTTTTTTTTCTTTTGCCAGTCCTGGGGCTTGAACTTAGGGCCTGGGCGCTGTCCCTGAGCTTCTTTTGCTCCAGGCTAGCATCTACCACTTGAGCCACAGCGCCACTTCTGGCTTTTTCTGTGTATGTGGTACTGAGGAATGGAACCCAGGACTTCATGCACGGGAGGCGAGCGTTCTACCACTGAGCCACCTTCCCAGCCCGCATGTTCACCAAAACCACACTCGGCTGCACCTCCTCCTGGCGCAGCCTTCCTGGGAGGAGTGGGTTGGAAGACAGATGCTCAGACTTATCCTCAGATGCCCAGGAGAGACTTGTGTGACTCCCTGCCGCGCTCCCAGCTTTCCAGCAGGAAGAGAACTGACGTCTCAGGAAAAACAGGAAGAAGGAAAGGGAGAAGAAGAAAGGAAAGGAGGAAGGGGGAGAGGGAGGAGCGAGGGCAAGGCCAGGCCTCCCCAAGTCAGATGCCCTGCCCACTCAGCGCTCTTCCTTAGGTCAGGTGTGGCTTTGTCTCCTCCTGGTAAACTCTGCACAAGTGCTGGTCTGGGCTCTCATGCAGTGATCACAAGCTATTGTCCATTACTTAGTGTGATACGACGCCGACGACAAACGCTATTGATAGCCTGACTAGAAATAGCTCTGACCAGCACAGGTGGCAGGGGGCAGTTCCCTCGCAATCATCCAGCGCCACGCGAGCCCCCGCCCCCGCCCGTGTGAACCAGAGAAAACCATGCGCGCGCACAACAGTCCATGTCGGCTTGGTGACCTCTTCAGATTTATCAACTTGCAGTGTTTCCACTGGGGGGAAAATCCTCAAACAGAAAATGCCATTGTTGAAAATAATCTGCTGTCTGTGTGTGTGAGTGTGCGTCTCTGTCTTTCTCTCTGCCTGCCTGTGTCTGTGTGTGAGAGAGTCTGCCTGCCTGCCTGTGTCTGTTTTTCTGTGTGTGTGTGAGTCTCTCTCTGTCTGCCTGTGTCTTTCTGTCTGTGTCTGTGTGAGTCTTTCTCTGCCTGCCTGTGTCTGTCTTTCTGTCTATGTATGTGTAAATTTCTTCCTCTCTGCCTGCCTGTGTCTGCCTGTGGGTGTGTGTGACTCTCTGTCTGCCTGCCTCTGTCTTTCTTTCTGTCTGTGTCTGTGTGAGTCTCTTCCTCTCTGCCTGCCTGTGTCTTTCTGTCTGTGTGTATGTGTGAGTCCCTCTCCCCCACCCCTCTCTCTTCTGCCTGCCTGTCTCTTGCCTAATGCCTGAAGCATTGCTTTTTTCCCACTGAGAATTTTTCAAGAATGGCCTCAGGCCCTGTTGGATTTTAGGCAAAACCTCACAGCTGTGCTCTTAGGGATCCCGCTCAAACACAGCGAAGGCTGACAGTCCAGCGCTCGTGTGTCGTTCTCGCCCCCCGCCCCCCCCCCCCCGGCCGCCCCGTCTCTCCCCTCGGGCCCCTTACCTCCAGGAGAGACGTAGACGCAGCGGAGTGGAGCCTCGTACACCAGTGTGCCCTTGAAGCTGGCCCCCAAGTCCACGGAGGGCTCACTGGACAGTGGCCGGTAGGCAGGCGTGGTGGGCTGCACCAGGGCTTGGAACATTGTGAGTTCCTGCTAACTTCACTTTAAAAGAAAAAAACCACGATGGCCTTTTCGCCTTGTATTTTTTTTTGAGATTCAGTAAAAACACTGGGCACAACATCTCAGAGCCATAGCGCTTGCACAAGCCCCATTCCTTCTGAGTCCTAGAACTCTGAAAGCAGCCCTCTTGGGGAGGGCCGGGGGCTGCGTCCCGGGCCCCCAAGGCTTTGCAGGGAGCCCTGGGTTCAAATGTGGAGTCAGCGGCCCCTGTCAGCCCAGCAGCCCAACACCTCCTGCAGCTCTGGTCTTTGTCCATCACCACGCCACTTGGCTGGACAGGCCCAGGGCTGCTGGGGGCTGGCGGGCCGAGCGCAGAACACGTCACATGGAACACGCCCTCGGCCTCACCAGAGCCCACGGCCCCCAGGGGTGGGACTGAGGCAGGGAGAAGAAGCAGGCAGCCTTTTGTCGCTGTTAAGCCTTCTGATTCCCAGACCAAATGGTCTGTGGTTCTCCATCCCTCTCCCCCAAAAAGGTCCCCAGGTCTCTAAACTTCAGTGTCCAACCTAAACATGAACTGGGTGAGAAGATTTCAGAGCAGTCCCAGTTTCATACATAGATTTTAAAAAAACAGAAACAGGTTGATTAGAGGTGAGTCACAGCTGGGCCCTAAAGAACGGTCACTCGGGTGCGTCGGCGGCTGTGGCCAGCCCTCTCCTCAGTGTCGCGGGAGAAAGAGCTTCTCTGGAGCTGGACCCAGCATGGACCCAGACCCAGGTCCAGCCCACTTGTATCTAAGGAACAGGAGGGCAGGGCCCCAGAGGTGGCAGTCGGTGGGGACAGTGGGGAGCGAGGGCTGTGCTGGGGGCACACCCTGAACTGGAAGTTCACAAATAGATGCTTCACTTCAGGCCCACACGAAATTCTTTATGGAACCCGTCCTCTTCAGAACTCCGGCGTTCTGATTTTTCTCTGTGAAGATGGTCAGTCCCAAGGAGGAACACACGTGTGTGTGCGTGTGCACTGCCCCGCCCAGAGCACGGCGTGGTGCGAGAGAGGCCCGGAAGGCTTAGTTTCCTCCATCTGCTCCCTTAAAAATTCCTTCTGCAGCCATGATTACTAAAACAAAATGCAAAGCCCACTACCAGCTACAAGCAAGCTAGTGATCCAGGTTCACGAAGCTCCTCTTTAAGATAGCCACGTAAAATAGCACTCAGAAGATAATCTCTCCTACCTTCCGACATCTTGAGTGACTACCACCACCAGGAAGCACAAACACCACACCTTGGGCCCTGGCCGGGTAACGGGGTATGTGGGGGGAGGGGGGAGAGAGGGTATTAGAGCATCATGGGCCGGGGGTGAGGAACAGTGGTCAAGGTCACAGTCAAGGTCATCCAGGGGCCACAGGGACAGTCCCAGTGAATCCCCTGTACCACTTACCCATGCTAAGAACAAGGCAGAAGGCAAAGAGAGCTAAAGGGGACAGAGCTGTCTCTATGACAACGTAGCATTAATGCTGCTAATAAACATTTTGGAAGTCGGAGTCTTGTTGTTTTCCTCCAAACCATATTTCGTTATTTTTTAATCACTGTATAATATTGCTGCTGTGTTGGGTGAAGTGTTTAGAAGTACACAAGGAGTGCGTGTCTTCTTTATGTGATTACTACCACCCAGTCCTTGGTTAAGATATTTATAAATGATCCTGGCGCCACTCCAGCCTGTGCTACACACTAAATTTAGTATGCAGCTCACTTGTAGCAGAGTAAGGGAGGCAGTAGCAGGTAGGTACATCATACCACACATTCTTTTACTACTGAGTAAATCATAATTGTTCATAACTATTGAACGTTTGTAAACTTTCAGTACAAACCATTTGAAGTCAGATGTATTATTTAAAGTTTCTCTATTTTTCCCCCAGTAGCCTCTTCTAAACAGCTCACCAAGTCAGATTTTCAGTTAACATATTGTCGGGGGAGACTGGAGGGGGCGTGGCATGATTTGAGCATCAGATTTCTGAATATTTAAAAACGAAGATGAAATGTGCAAATGCAATATAGAAACAATTGTGTCTTAAGCCAGAAGTTTAGAAACCCTGTGTTCATGCGCGTCTAGATTCGCTTGTTTAACAAGAATTTACTAACACCCCCTAGAATTCGGTGCTGCTTTTTTTTTTTTTTTTTAAGGAAAAGACACTTTACTGGCTATGTGTGTTTGTGTGCATGTCAGAGAGAGCGAGTCCTCTGCTTTTAAGAGTTCCAGTGCTTTAACGTCCGTGTTGGTGGTGGTTATGGAATAAATCACTTTGGTACATAAGTTATGTGCTGTCCTCTGAGATGGAGTGGGGCGTTCTTTCCATGCTGTGCTTTGAGGCTGCCCACCGTTCCTCTCCCTGATGTGTTTTGCAGTGTCCATCTATGGAATCTGGTTCTATGATAAGGAAGAGTGCCAGAGGATTGCGGAGCTCATGAAAAAGTGAGTGAGGACGAGGAGGCCCAGGCCCGCTGGCCATCTGCTTCCTCCCAGGCCGCTCCTGCTCCCCCGCACCCACAGTCAGCGTTAGGGGCCCATAGTCTCTCCTTTCCATCTGGAGGTATGGGAGTTCATGTCTGCTCAGGGATAATCTGGGGTTCCTGTCTACTCGGGTCAGCAGCTGCTCCAGGTCTCCCTCTCCCTCCTCTTGTAAGTCTTGTTCTTTCCATCTCACGATGCTTTGTGGGGTTCCCGCACTGCATTCTGGGAACTCTCAGCACCCCACCTGATCACACGCCCCCCCCCCCCCCCCCCCCCCCCGCCTCTCTGGTAACACAGGCAGGAGGCCCCCACCCACTGGCCCCTCTTGAGCTCCTGGCCCTGCTCACCACAATTGGTTTCTGGGAGTGGATGAAGGGCCACCTGGCCTGGAACCTGGGACTCAGGGCGGCGGCTGCCCACAGGGGTGACCTGCACCCCCAGATTCCACCTCAACCCCGGTGCTGTGAACCAGCCAGAGGGAGCCCGTGGAAACAAGCAGCCTGGGGGCGGGGGGGGGGGTGCCTTTTTGTAAATAAAATTTGATTCCTGAAGATCTAACATGTGAGAGCTAATTTTAGGTAAGTAGCTAAGTTGCAGATGGTGATTAAGTTTTGTTCAGACTGGTATTTACCGCCAGGCAGCTCGTCCCTGGAACACTCGTTATTGTAAACGTGCTGCGGACAACAATAGCCAGATTCCAGATAGATGAGAAGCATCCTGAGGCCGAGCCAGAGGCCGTGCGAGTCACAGCCCTTGGGTGGCTAGTGGCTGGGCGCTGGGCAGGCAGGCCCGGAAGAGCCTCGGGGGTCAGAACCGTAGGGGAGCGCCTTGCATTGCTCTAAGCGGCAGTTTACCTATTGCCAGTGCTCAGATGTAACTTGGGCCCCGCTTGCTTGGTGTTCTGCCTCTTGAGCCACGCCCTCCACCCCTTTTGTGCTTTTGTTAGTTTTCAGATGGGCCCCAGCTCGCATTCCCTCCACCCTGGTCCTTGCTCATTCAGCCCGGGCCTCGCCAGCTCTGCCCCAGGCGGGGGGGGGGGGGGGGGGGGGCCCGCAAACACCAGTCCTCGGACCTCCACCTCCTGTGGCTGTGGGGGTGCAGGGTCATGCTGAGTTAGGGTGAGCGCTTTGCTCTTTCCACCTTATGTGGGGACAGGTGGGAAGCAGTGCCATGCACCATGCTGCCTTGTCAGTGAGTGAGCAAACAAGACACAGGCATTGCTTCTACAAGGGGCAGAGTTGTGCCATGTGGGGCACAGGTGCCCGCAGCTCCGCTCACCCGGCCAGTTCCTTAAAACCACCACGCACTCGTATTTGTAAATAACCGCTGGGTGAACTTGGTGGGTGGGCAGGAGCCACCGGCACTGACCTGGCTCTCTGGGCCTTCCCCCTTCCCTCTTCTAGTCTGACTCCGTCTGAACAGCTGTGCCCTCTTTGCCTTTCCCCTTCCCCCTTCTAGCCTGACTCAGTCGGAACAGTTGCGTGCTGGCACCGGCATCCCCCCCATCATGCTCAGTGCGGGAGAGGGCCAAGAGGCGGACATACTCCGCATGCTCACCAAGGCCAGGGACGAGTACACCAAGGGGAGTCCACGCGGGGCGCTGCCCAGGGAGGAGCACGCGAAGGTGAGTCATGCTGTGGGCCAGGCCTCGCTGTCTGGGCACTTGGCTCTCACGGCTGACACCTGTCCATACGACAGCCCTGGAAATGCTTTAAGGCACTGAATTGTGCAAGTTTGGACCGGACATGTTCCCCGCTGGAGCTCATGGTGCTGGAGTCGAAGGGAGGAAATCCGTCGAGACAGAGTCTGCCGGCCAGATGGCTCGTACCCCAACCACCTTTCTCTCTTCCAGTGTCAAACCTGTTCTGAGCCCAAACGGATAGCCAGCTCCTCTGCCATCCATGACAACCCCAACCTGATCAAGCCCATCCCCGTGAAGCCCGGGGACGGCCACCCTCAGAGCGGGCCTCAGCGCAGCCAGGTGCGCCCCCGGGGCGGGTCAGGAGGGGAGGGAGAGACGAAGTACCTGTCCAGGCCAAGACAGATTGCGTGCAGCGAGGGTTTGGGGGTGTTCCTGGGGCTCAAATGCAGAGGTCTGCACTGGCCAAACAGGTGCTCTGCCACTTCACAACACGCCCAGACCTTTGTGCTTCAATGTCTTTTGTCAAACAGTCTTAAGCTTTTATCTGGGTTAGACTGGAATTCTCCTTATCCAACTGGAGTTACTGTGGTAAACAGGGGACTTGCTTGTGTGATTCTGTGAAAAGCCACCAGAACCCTGTGAAGGCCTCAGGCTAAGTTCTCAAAGAGGTGGTTTATCTCTCCACGTCTGTAACTCTGCCTGCGCATGCCCCATCCTGGGACCTGGGCCCACGAGTCCATCCGACCAGTTGGTCAATCCTAATACGTGTCAGCTCTCCTGAGAGACGCCTCTGGAGAGCAGTGTGAAGCATAAGCCTTCGCAAAGCCTCCGATTGTTCTAGCTAGCTCCCAGTATTTCTTGTGGTCCCCCAAAGCCCCCACGTGGATAAGACTGAGTTGTCAGGGCAGCCACACCCACACTGCACGCGGCACGGGCTCCCGTGTCTTCATTTCCTCCAGGCCTCGGACCCTGAGCCCCAGCACCTGTCCTTGACCACTCTGTTTGGGAAGCCTGGCGGAGCGCCCTGCCCCAGAGCTACGGAGTCCCCGCAGCTGCAGACGACGCCCCCGGGCCGGCAGGGGACTCCCGTGGCCAGGCTCTGCCCAGCGATTCAGAAACTCATGGTTGGGAGCACGGAGCTACGCCCGCTGGCCGAGCTCCCAGAAGGGCATCCCTGCGGCGCCCATCCTGTGGGGGACCTGGCCCCCCGCCCAGTCCCCCCAGGCTCGCCCCGCCACACACACAGGACTTCCAGACCCCAGAGCCTGCTGGAGACGCTGCAGGGGGCCCCTGACCCCTCCACCCCCACTCTCCCCAGCCCCGCCGCCCAGCTCCCCCTCCCGCCCCCTCCCCGAGGCCCTGGGGAGGGGAGCCCCGCGCCCCAGCCCGGCAGCCCTGGAGCTCTGCCCCCACGGGAGCTGCTGAGAAAGCTCCAGGCCGTGCAGCAGCAGCAGGAGCTCCAGGTGGGCCCGAGGCCAGCCCTGGCCGCCAGGTTCCCAGTGGTGGCCCAGAGCTCCGGGACGGGGACACCCTGGGAGAAGCCGGCTGCTCTCATGCAGGTAAGCGCCTGCCTGTCCAGAGACGAAACCGGGGGGGGGGGGGGGGGGGGGTGCGGTGCAGCCACATTTACAGCCGGCTCCAGACAGGCAGCGCCCCTCCCCCACCCCTCCAGAGAGCAGAGGGAGAGCTTCCTCCTGTCTGTCGGAAGGTCTTAAGACCAGCACAGACCTGGGGGCGGTGGATGCGACCCCCCCCCCCTTGACTGTGGGCTGGTTGGTTTAGAGACTGGTTGAGGCGTTCTGTGACATGAGGCCCGCGTGGGCCCTCAGAGCCCACAGTCCTGCAGGCACTCAGCCCACACAGGCAGGAGCCACGCTGGATGCCCCGGCCTATGCGCCGGGGAGCACTGCCCAGGGAGGAGCGAGCGGGCTGCTGCCTCCACAGAGGCTCGGGAGGAGCAGGCGTGCCTTTGGCCTCCCTGTGCACTAGCTGCCGGGAAGGGGTCCCCAAGTCCGCTGGTAGCTAGAAACGGAGGGATCCGCTCAGTCCACATCTGTCCCCTGTGACACCCACTGGGAGCACGCTGGTGTCAGTGACGCGTGTGCTGGGGCTTGGCCTGCTGCGTTGGGCAGCCTCCTGTCCCTGGGACGTGGCCCGAGCCTGCTGCCCTCTCCCCGAGGACGTGTCTGCAGCCCACCCTCCTCTCAGTGCTTGGTGTCCACTTTGCGAACACCTGCTCCTTTTTCTATTTGCTGCCTTAGAATTCGAGAATCGGGGTGAGCAGCCTGACGTGAATTCCTGCCTAATTCCTTTTCCTTTCAGCATTGACAAATGTCAGGGGGCAGATGAGGGAAGTGCATGTGTGGCCCACGCCGGGCACCCCACACTGGGCTCCCCACAGCCCCCCACAAAGTGCTCACAGGAGCAGACAGCCCCCTTCCCCCAGGTACTTTGCCCCGGAAATGCCACAGCCATGATGCTGCATCGCCGCCCACCCAAACCCAAGTTCCCTGTGTTCTTGGGGTACCGGAAGGCTGGGAAGCGCCTCACTCTGCTCCCAAGCCAGACACGCGCACCAGCCCTCAGGGACCGGCGTGCCATGGCATGGCTGTGTCAGGTCCATCAGCTAAGTGAGTGGACAGCCCAGAAGTACCTGCTCCCCACAGGCAGGGCCTCTGAGGACAGGGCCAGAGAGGGGTGCCCCGCAAGTCACCCACGAGAGCCGCCCTGCCCACGGGGCGCAGGTCAGGACCGTGGGCAGCCAGGCTGAGTGGGGGCGGCAGGCCTACACACTGAACAGGAAGGGAAATAGCCTGAAAAGGCCCTGCCCATTGCTCATGCTGGGCCTGCGCAGCCAGAGCAGTCTGCACAGAGGTGCTCAGCGAAGGCGGGGGGGTGGAGCGGGACCCACGGCCTGCGGGCCCCTCCGCCAGGGCAGCAGCTCGGCCGGGCCTGGAGGTGGTGCCCGTGGGGCCCAGCGGTGCAGAGCTGTGGCTCGGGTGGCGCATGAGTTCCTCAACCCCACCCATCTGCCGTGCACAGGCCACTTCGCCCCAGCGCGTCGCAGCGGGAGCGGCCCACGTCCTGCTCATGTCGCCCACCGCCTCCACCCAGGCCCCGGCCAGCGACAGAGAGGGAGGCCAGGAAGCCCCCGGCCTGCTGCTGCCCCTGCGGATCCCCGAGCGGCCCTCGCTGGGGGCCCCAGGCCCGCTCAGCAGGCCGCAGCTCCAGGAAGCGCTGCTGTACCTCGTCCAGGTAAGCGACTGCTGCTTCGCTTCCCATCCAACCACGACTTCTGTCGAGACGGCCTGCCTGGCCCCGAGAAGGATGGCTGCCGAGCCCGGTACGGGAGACTGCAGTGAAACTACCCACTGCCCTCCAGCCTGTCCAGGGCCAAGCCGGCACCTGTCAGGAGGCCAGGGCCGTCCTGGGCCAGTGACACCCTGAGCTCCAGCAGACAGAGCAGGTCACGATGGGCAGGGAGGCAAGCGCCGGCCGTGTGTGCCACGGGCACAGCCACAAACAGTTCCGAAGCTGGCCACGAGCCGGCCGTGTGTGCCACGGGCACAGCCACAAACAGTTCCAAAGCTGGCCACGAGCCGGCCGTGTGTGCCACAGCATGGCCACAAACAGTTCCGAAGCTGGCCACGAGGCGGCCGTGTGTGCCACAGCATGGCCACAAACAGTTCCGAAGCTGGCCACGAGCCGGCCGTGTGTGCCACAGCACAGCCACAAACAGTTCCGAAGCTGGCCACGAGCCGGCCGTGTGTGCCACAGCACAGCCACAAACAGTTCTGAAGCTGGCCACGAGCTAGGGCGTGTGTGCCATGGGCACAGCCACAAACAGTTCTGAAGCTGGCCACGAGCCGGCCGTGTGTGCCACAGCATGGCCACAAACAGTTCCGAAGCTGGCCACGAGCCGGCTGTGTGTGCCACGGGCACAGCCACAAATAGTTCCGAAGCTGGCCACGAGCTAGGGCGTGTGTGCCACGGGCACAGCCACAAACAGTTCTGAAGCTGGCCACGAGCCGGCCGTGTGTGCCACAGCACAGCCACAAACAGTTCTGAAGCTGGCCACGAGCCGGCTGTGTGTGCCACGGGTACAGCCACAAATAGTTCCGAAGCTGGCCACGAGCTAGGGCGTGTATGCCACGGGCACAGCCACAAACAGTTCCGAAGCTGGCCACGAGCCGGCCGTGTGTGCCACGGGCACAGCCACAAATAGGTCTGAAGCTGGCCACGAGCCAGCCGTGTGTGCCATGGGCACGGCCACAAACGGTTCCGAAGCTGGCCACGCAGCATCTGTGCTCTGCACAGTTGACCCCCCCCCCTTGTCGGCAAGCCCCCTCCCCAAGGGCAACCTGCCCCGCCCTCGCCCCCTGCCCACCCCCAGGAGGGGGCTCTGTCCCCACACACAGGAGGTTACAGGCTCCAGCCTCCCAGCCCCCTGCGAGAGGTCACAGGTCCCGGCTTCCCTGTTGGTTTCCAGAATGACGACAGCTTCCTGAACATGATCTATGAAGCCTATCTCTTCAGCATGGCGCAGGCCGCCCTGCGGGGACCCACGTGAGCCGCAGCAGCCGTGTCCTGAGACCCGTCCCTCCCAGGGAAGCACCGCTGCCGTGTGTTTCCGCCAGCCGGAGCCCGGTGCTGCACAGTAAAGGGTTTGTGTGGTTGAGCTCCTGTGGTTGGCCCTGTGTGAGAACCCCTGGCACCCGCGCCGTAGCTCCAGACTCGGGGAGGCCTCCGTCCAGGCCACGCAGCGAATGCCGAGGTCAAACTCACACCCCCGGTGCCAGGCTAGGAAGGAAACCGTTCCTTTCTCTTTCCATAATCTCCTTGGTTCTCACCCAAGCCAGGGCACCGGCCAGCCACCAGGGGGCAATGTCCACCACGGTTACCCGTGGGAGTGAGAACACTTTTCCCTAGGCCACCCATGGTCATAGTACATCTGCTGTGCTTGCCTGGCCCCAAGGTGTCCACACCATGTCTGCATGGCCGTGGCCTACCTGCGCCTGACGTGTCCACGTGGTGGACAGCTTTCATGTCCCCCAGGCGGGGGGTGACACGGGGACTATGGAAGGCCAGGACCTGGGTCAGCAGCACCTGTTCTGGGCCTGGCAGGGGAGGTGGTGGCCTCAGGGGCAGAGGATGAGATTTTCTGCTGCCCAGGCCTGAAGGGCGCATGGGGCCCCATGTTCCTTTGTCCCCATTTGTTCTGCAGACAAGTGTTCTTACTCTGGGGCCCCCAGGGGCCGGCTTCCTCACACCCTGGGGCTTCGGGCCTTTGCGGGGACCACGAGGCTCCTCCCCAGCTCTGAGGAGAGGCGGGGCGGGCTCCACCTCCTACAGCCGCCACAAAGTGACAAACCTCGGAGACCTAACCTGCAGAAGGCCAGCGGCACATGAGAAACGGGAGGGCCGGGCTATCATCCCAGCTACTCAGGAGGCTGAGATCTGAGGATCATGGTTCAATCCAGCCTGGGCAGGAGAGTCCCTGAGACTCTTATTTTCAGTAAGCCACTAAAAAAAGTGGAAAGTGAGGCTGTGGCTCAAGTGTTAGAGCACCAGCCTTGAGTAAAACTGAAGGACAGAACCCAGGTCCTGGGTTCAAGCCCCAGGACCAAACACAGACATGCATGCATGCACACATAAGCACACGCATGCATGTGCACACGCACGTGGCAGATGGCGCTGCAGGCCCTGGGCGGTGTGCTGCATGGCCTTGGCCCCGCACATCTGACCACAGTTAAAAGTATCCGTGATCTAACCACCACAGCCTTAAAAAAACAACTCAAAATGCAATAAACAGCTTTGAAGGTGTGAAGTGTCTCCATTGCCAGTTGGTTTGCAGCAGGGAATCGTGGGTAGAGCTCATGGGCTGTTCCTTCTGCGTGGAACAGCCGGGCAGCGGCCCTCAGACACAAACCTCTGGAAGCATGGGGCTTCCTCCCTCAGAACAGCGCCAACCTCATCCATCGCAGTAAATCACTGGAAACGCGGCCTGCCGGATCCAGGTAGACCAAAGGCCCAGGCGCCCCTCCCAGTGCGGACTCATTCTCCCGTGGCGGCCAGGGCGTGGCGATGCGCCCTGGTGGGCGCACCCACGTGATGAGGCCCCCAGAGCCGGCCCTACCCCAGGACCAAGGCACGCGGCCAGCCCATACAGCTGTCAGCCAGGTCCCTGTGCCCACACCCCCCACGCGTGGCGACGTCGGGAATGGCCAGGCAGGTGGGGTGTGCCCAACTCTGCTTTGGCCCCGTCCCGGCTGAGAGGATGCTGCATGGCTGCGAACACCGTGTGGTGCGGCCAGAGGCGCTGCCTCTTTAAAGCAGAGGCCATGCTGGCTGCAGAGGGCCAGGCAATGGCCTAATCCGCCCGGATTAGAGGAGAGGCAGAGGGATTAGAGGGGCAGGATCGTCCCAACCCCTCAGAGGCCATCGAGCAAGACAGCCCCCCTCTAGCCGTGGGGACCCCGAGGCCCAGACTGCTGGGGCGTGCACGCACTCATGGGCCTCTACTCTGTCCCCGTGTGCGGCCTCGAGCACCTCCCGAGCCCCGGCTGCCCGCTGGGCCCTGGCAGGGGCCGCAGCCCTCCTGGGCCCAGGGCCCTCCTATGGAAGACGGTCCTGGTGCTGTGGCTGCTGTCCAGCTCCACCCTGACCCCCGCACAGGGCCAGGCCAAGATTCCTCTGGAAACGTAAGCCACGCACACCCCGCACCCCGCTCCCCACAACCCACCTCTGCTCCCGCCCACCCCCCCCACCGCCAGGCCAGCGGGCCGGGATGGCTGTCCTGTGGGGATCATCTGGCCCCGGCTGCTGCCGATGGCTCCCTCGGAAATGTATAATCCACACTGCCACCCAACCCTCCTTCCAGACTGTTCTGCCTCCTTCCCGGCCACATTCCCTCTCTGGCCAGTGCCACCGGGCAGGAGAGGTGCGGCCTCCCGGGGCTGCTTCTCCTCCAGCCTAGGCCCTGAGATCACGCCAGCCCCCTCCGCCCAGCCCCACGGTCAGGCCCACAAGGCTGTCCGTCACATGGGGCTCAGTGACGCCCCCCTCAGTGGCCGGGGCCCTGGCTCCCGCTGGTGTTGAGGAAGTGGAGGAGAGGGGCAGTTGGTGGAAGTGCAGTGATCCCCGTCTGGGCCCAGCAGCCTGGCCCCCCTGAGCCAGGGCAGCACGCAGCCTGGGCGGCGTGGCGCGGCATGGCATGGAAGGCGAGGGTGAGAGCCACCTGCATTCCAGGGTGCCGGGCAAGGAGCAGAAGGCCGGGCCCGGAGGGCAGCAGCCACTGTGATCCAGCTACTCAAGGCTGGGGCAGGAGGCGGGGAGTTCGAGGGCAGCCTGGGGCAAAGGGAAGGAGACCCTGTCTCACACACGGCCCCAGTGGTGCTCAGTAGCAGGGTGCCAGACGGGGAAAGCAGAGCAGAGCCCGCGTGACCTTTGCCCCCACCCCCGACCTTCCGCAGCATCCGTGTCGTTGGATGATGCCAGGAAATCCGTGGCCAGCATCACCTCCCACGCTCCCCCGTGACAGCCCGACCTCTCCCCCCACAGCCTCTCGTGGGCCCTGGGCTCCCAGCCCCCCTCCAGCCCTCCCTCCCCGCTCGCCCCTCACACGGGTGCAGCTGATTCCCTGGCACAGAGTAAGACCCCCCCACGATCGCCGGCTGCGCGGCCGAGGGGCCGACCTGGTGGGCACACAGGCGAGTGGCCGCGCTCCCTCCGGGGCCTCCCGTCAGCTGCCTGCTGGGGGCGGTGTCTTCTGCCACCACGAGTGCCAGAAGTCACCACCAAGCCCTCCCCGACCCCAGGCCACCTGACCCTGGGCTTCCATTGCTGTCCCAGTGACCTTGAACCCCCAATCCCAGTGACCTTCAACCTCCATCCAAGTGACCTTGAACCTTTTTTCCAGTGACCTTGAACCCTCAGTTTTGGTGACATTAAACCCTCAGTCCCAGTGACCCTGAACCCTCTGTCCTGATGACCTTGAGTCTCTAGTCCTGATGACTTTGAACTCTCAGTCCCAATGACCTTCAACCTCCCAGTGACCTTGAATCCTCTGCCCTGATCATGAACCCTCAGTCCTGGTGACTTTGAACCTTCAGTCCCAATGACCTTGACTTTTCTGTCCCAGTGACCTTGAATCCTCTGTTCTGGTGACCTTGAATCCTTAGTCCTGAGAACTTTGAACTCAGTCCCAGTGACATTGAAGCCCCAGCGACCCTGAACCCCATCCCCAGTGACCTTGAGCCCTCTGTCCTGATGACCTTGAATCCTTAGTCCTGATGACTTCAAACTCTCAGCCCCAGTGACCTTCAACATCTAGCTCAGTGAGCTTGAACCTTTTTCCCAGTGACCTTGAGTCCTTTGTCCTGATGTTCTTGAATCCTCTGTCCTGATGACCTTGGACTCTCAGTCCTGGTGACCTTGAACCTTCTGTCCCAGTGACCTTGAACAGGTTACCAGCAGTGACCGCTTATTTGGCCCAAAGCTCTCCTCTCATTCTTGGGGTTGTCCCCACACTGGCCGCCCTGCCCACCATCCTGCCCTGTGCCCCCCTCCTCTCCTGGTGCAAAGCTGAGTCCCGGAGCTTGGCCCCAGCCTTTGGTTCAGGGCCCTGGGCAGGGGGCTGCCCCGCCCCACGCTGCCCTGCCACACCCTGCCTAGCCCTGCTGGGCTCTGCGGGGAAGCCGCTCAGGTACATGTGCCCGTGTGTAGGCCCGTGCTCGCATGAGGGAGGGACACATGTGCATGCCCATGCTCACATGGGTCACGTGTGCACGCCAGTGCCCCTGTGTGGGTCATGTGTGCGTGCCCGTGAGCTCGCCCCGGTGGTCCCGCAGGGTGAAGCTGTGGGCTGACACCTTCGGCGAGGACCTGTACCGCACAGTGACTAAATACTCTGGCTCCCTCCTGTTGCAGAAGGTCGGTGACCCCTGGGGACGTGCTCAGGTGGCCGCTGGGGCCTCTTTCCTGGCAGGAAAGCAGGGGCCCCCACCTTCGGGTTTGGGTTCGGTTTAAGGTTCTGGTTCGGGTTCGGGTTCCGGTTCGAGTTCTGGTTCAGTTTCGGGTTTGGGTTAGGGATCGGGTTCGGTTTCGGGTTTGGGTTCCGTTTCAGGTTAGGGTTCGGGTTCGGGTTCGGTTTGGGGTTCCGGGTCGGGTTCATGTTCAGGTTCGGTTCGGGTTCGGGTTCCAGTTTGGGTTCGGGTTCGGGTTCGGGTTCCATTTCCATGGCCGCACCCCTTGATGGATGAGGCGCTTTCCACACAGATGGACGTACCGCCTCCTCATCCAGCCTCCAGGACTGTTATCCCAGCCCCAGCACCAGGCAGGGGGCAGCGGGGCCTTGGCATCTGGGCTATGGGGCACCCACAGGCCTCCACACCCCTCCCACAGCCCCGCTCCTCCTGGGGACCCCGCTCCCCGGACAGCCCCCCACCCCAGCAGGGCCCCAGGTTTCCTCAAGCCGGGGTCCAGGCTGTCTGGGCTGTGGCCTCTGGCAGGAGCTGCGCGGGGCCTGGGGAGGGAGGCCAGCTCGCCGTCGCTGGAGGGGCTCTGGGGAGGAGGCCGGGTGTCTCCTGTATGCCCCGGGGGTGCCCCGGGCCTGGGGCACAGAGCCGAGGCACCTGCTGTGCCCCCAACAGCAATACCGGGACGCGGAGCCCAGCCTGAAGATCCAGGAGGTGGACGGTCTGGAGCTAGTGAAGAAGTTCTCCAGGGACATGGAGGCCATGCTGCGGAGGAAAGTGGAGGCCGTGCAGGTGGGGCCGCCCACCCCTGCCCCTGCCCTGCCCCTGCCCCCCCTCCAGCCCCTGCCCCTACCTCCTCCCGCCCCTCCCCTGACCTGGCCGGGGTGGGATTTCAAGGTCACCCCTTCTTTCCCGCCTTAGAGTCTGGTCGAGGCTGCAGAGGAAGCTGACCTGAACCACGAGTTCAACGCATCCCTGGTGGTGAGTCTTCTTCTCTGTGGCTGGAGTTGGGGGGGGCAGAGATGGGGGGAGACCGGGAGCTGGGGACGGGGCCTTGGCTCAGGGGCTTGAACTCACCGTGAAGTAGGATGGAGCCCTGAGCAGCGGAGGCCCGGGCCTGCCTGGGTCCCCAGCACGCTGAGGGGACCGACAGAGGCCCCACAGGCTGCTCCCTGGTCCCCGTCCGTCCTGAGACTGCCAGCCTGTGTCTGCCCACCGCTCAGGTGGTGACAAGTCACAGTAACCCGAGCCTTACGCCGAGCACTGGTGCCCACACCTGTAACCCTGGCGGTCCGGAGGCCCAGGCCTGAGGATGGTGGTTTGAAGCCAGCCCGGGCTGGAAATTCTAATGGTACAGCTGTGGAGCACCAACCTTGAGCAAGACAAGCTCAGAAACAGCGCCCAGGCCCTGAGTTCAAGCCGCAGGACCTGCACAAAACAAACCCCAAACACACCAAGCTCATGCACCCTACGATCCAGTTACCAGAAGAGAGAGAACGCTGCAGCCGGTGGCTCTGGGGGTACTCACGCCAGCTCGCCCAACTTCACCTTCTCTCTCCCCCTGCCTGGCCTCCGCCCTTCCCCCACCTGTTCTTCCCCGCCCCCCTCACTTCACCTGTCCCCTGCCCTGGCCGTGTTCCTGGGCCCCGTCCTCAGTTTGACTACTACAACTCGGTCCTGATCAATGAGAGAGACGAGAAAGGCAACTTCGTGGAGCTGGGCGCCGAGTTCGTCCTCGAGTCCAATGCTCACTTCAGCAACCTCAGGGTGAACACCTCGGTCAGCAGCGTGCAGCTGCCCACCAACGTGTACAACAAAGGTACGTGTGCAACAAAAGTGTGTGTACAACAAAGGTGCGTGTGCAACAAGGGTGCATGTGCAACAAGGGTGCGTGTGCAACAAGGGTGCATGTGCAACAAGGGTGCGTGTGCAACAAGGGTGCGTGTGCAACAAGGGTGCGTGTGCAACAAGGGTGCGTGTGCAACAAGGGTGTGTGTGCAACAAAGGTGCATTACAACAAGGGTCCATGTACAACAAAGTTGCATGTACAATGAGGGTGCGTGTACAACAAGGGTGCGTGTACAACAAAGGTGTGTACAACAAAGGTGCATGTACAACAAAGGTGTGTGTACAGCAAAAGTGCGTGTACAGCAAAGGTGCGTGTACAGCAAAGGTGCATGTGCTACAAGGGGGCGGGCTCCGTGCCCTGCGGCCATCCTGAGGCCTCCCTGGGGCTGCCCCACCCATGAGAGTGTTCCCATACCCCTTCCCCCTCCCTTCCAGACCCGGACATCCTGAACGGAGTCTACATGTCGGAGGCCCTGAACCCTGTGTTCGTGGAGAACTTCCAGAGGGACCCCACACTCACCTGGCAGTACTTTGGCAGCGCCACAGGGTTCTTCAGGATCTACCCGGGTGAGCGGCCGGCCCCGGGGAAGGAGCAGTTGGGGAGGGATGGGTCAGTCCCCAATCCCCGCCAGAGTGTGCCCAGCCCTCGCCAATGTCCACTCTCGAGTCAGTAAAGATCCGCAGAACAAACCAGTGAACCGCGGAAACAACTTTGATTTCCAAGGCCCTGAGGACAGGCACGCCCCACCACGCACAGACAGCCGCAAGGAGTCTCAAGAACTTGTCAGCCACCACGGACATTAGATAGATGACAGACGGACAGATAGAAGATAGATCCAAATAGATGAATTGATCCATCTACAGAGAGCAGATTGATACAGGGTAGACTGATAGTTGATAGATTGGTGATAGATAATCAATTGATCTACAGATAGACCCATATAGATAGATAAATAGATAATAGAGGTATATCTAGAAAAAAAAGTGTATACCCTGTATATTATATAAATTAATGGGTTTCATTAAGTTCCATACATGCGAATTTTGAGTATATCGGCCTACTGCCTTCTGATGAAGAAACTGCTTTATTATCTTGTGTTATTTTTTTTTTTTTTTTTGCCATCCTGGGGCTTGAACTCAGGGCCTGGGTGCCGTCCCTAAGCTTCTTTTGCTCAATGTTGCATTCTACCATTTGAGCCACAGCGCCACGCCTGGCTTTCTCTGTGTATGTGGTGCTGAGGAATTGAATCCAGGGCCTCATGCATGCAAGGCGAGCGCTCTACCACTGAGCCACCTGCCCAGCCCTGCTTATTGTCTTACTGAGGGTCCCGTATCCACATCAAGTGCTTCTGTCTTCCAAGATCCGTGCTCCCTTTGCTTTTTGTGTCTGGAAGTGCCTTAGCATTGTCTCTTCTTCACATCCACCTCACTCCAGCGTTTGCTGGACACTTTGGGCGTTTGTAGCCAGGGTCTCCATCTGGGCCGTTAAGTCATCAAGCGCGGCCTCTGCCCATCTCTCTTCCGCTTCTCTCCCTGGGCTCCTGGAGCAGGGATGTTGGTGCACATGGTGACAGCTCCCAGGCTCCGGCCGGTCTTCTGCCGTCCTCCTTTCTGTCCGTCAGGCTCAGGCAGGCGCAGCCCTGGCACTGGTGCCCCTGACGCGCTTTCCTGCCGGCTCAGACCTTCCTCTGAATCCTTCTAGCGATGTTTCATTTCAGTTACTGAGTTTCCAGCTGGCATTTCTTGTGTCTGTCCCTGCGTGAGCACCTCCCCCTTCCCATCGCTGCGTTCCTTCCTCCACCCAGCTCATGTGTTTATGGATATCTTGGCTGTGTGGGTGGCTTTATCGAAGCCCCCGATGGGCACGTTAATCGTGTGGCGGTCCTTCTGGAGATCAGACTTTCTCCAGAACTATGTTGCTGTGGTTGGTTTGGGTCTGGTTCTGGTTTTATAGTGTCTGCATTGAAGGTCATCCTGAATTGTTGGTTTTCCCGGCTTCTCTGGCCTTCTGAGACTCTTCTCGTGGCCACGCACACAGTTCCTCACAGGGCCCCCGCAGGTGCAGCTGTTCCTCGGTGTCCTAGTCTTCAATGCCTGGCTCCCAGAGGGAAAAGAGAAAGGGGGAGACAGGGACCTTGGTCCCTGCCACCTCCAGAAATAACTTCAGTTAGGGGCCCCAACCCAATGACCTAACTTCCTCCCACTGGGTCCCACCCCCCAGTGACCTAACTTCTTCCCATGAAGCCACACCCCCAATGACCTAACTTCCTTTCAGTGGGTCCCACCCCCCAATAACCTAACTTCCTTCCACTCCATCCCACCCCCAATGACCTAACTTCCTCCCACTGGGTCCCACCCCCAGCAACCTAACTTCCTCCCACTGGGTCCCACCCCCAGTGACCTAACTTCTTCCCATGAAGCCACACCCCCAGTGGGTCCTCCATCGCCCAATAGCACCCTAAATTGAGAAGCCATTTTGCATCCACCTATTTATTGTGCACTCCTAGTCTATATTTTGTACCTGGCCATAACAACCTGGACATTCGCACTGGGGTCATGGCTCAAATAGTAAAGCACCAGCTATGAGAGAAAAAAAAAATCTGAGTACAAGGGCCCAAGTCTCACACACACACACACACACACACACACACACCTGAGCATTGTGACTGATACACACCAGCCATCCAGCTATGGGGAGAGGCACAAATAGGAGGATTAGGGTCCAGGTTGACACCAACTCAAAGGCAATCAGAACCGGAAGGGCTGGAAGCGTGGCTGGAGCAGCAGTGCCCGCTGAGCTTCTCGGGCCACTCCCCAGCGCTGCCCCTGGATGGTTTCTGTCTGTGAATCTGGTCTTACTCCTCCCCCTCAGCCCTGGGGGTCATGATGACGGGAGGGCCTCTGGGCTGGAGGAGAGCCTGTCTGTATCCCCGTCCCGCAGGTATAAAATGGACGCCTGATGAGAACGCCTTCGATTGCCGGAACCGGGGCTGGTGAGCGCTAGCAGGGCCCTTCGTATGGCCTCTGGGGTCTGCGTGGCCCCCAACACCTCCGTCCCTCTCCTTCCTGCTCCTGACCCTGGGCGAGGGAAGTTGGCCCTGCACCACGCCATCACTCCAGGTGTGCCCGTGCCCGGCCACGCCGCCCAGAGCAGCTCCAGGCGCCGACCACCAAGGCACGCGAAGCCTGGCACCCATCAGGCGCCCTGAGCTTCCCCGCTCCGGGCCGGAGTCCACACAGGAACAAGCGGGGCTCTGGGCTAGATGGCTGTCCCCGCTCTGGTCTTCCTCCTTCCTTCCTTCCTTCTCTCTTCCCTCCCTCCCTCCCTCCCTTCTCTGCTCCTTCCTTCCTTCCTTCCTTCCTTCTTCCCTCCTCCCCTCTGGTGGTCCTGGGGTTTGCAGGCAGGGCTTGGACAGGCCTCGCTCTCTCCCTCCCTCTCCCTCTCTCTCTCTCTCTCTCTCTCTCCCAATCCTCTTTCCCTCTCCCTTTCCCTCTCTCTCCTCTCTTTCTCCCTCTCTCTTCCTCTCTTTCCCTCTCCCTTTCCCCCTCTCTCCTCTCTCTCACCCGCTCCCCCTCCCCCCTCAGGTACATACAGGCAGCCACCTCCCCCAAGGACCTGGTGGTGCTGGTGGACGTGAGCGGCAGCATGAAGGGGCTGAGGCTGGCCATTGCCAAGCATACGGTCACCACCATCCTGGACACACTGGGCGAGAATGACTTCCTCAACATCATCGCGGTGACTGCTGGCGCCAGCTCCCTGGCCTCCCGCCTGCCCTCCCTCCCTCCCGCCTGCCCTCCCTCCCTCCCGCCTGCCCTCCCGCCTGCCCGCCGTCCTGCTCTCCTGCCCTCCCCACCCACCCACCCACACGCCAGCCTGCCCGCCTCCCCGCCCTCCTCCCCGCCCTCCTGCCCGCCCTCCTCCCTGCCCTCCTCCCTGCCCTCCCCCTGCCCTCCTCCCTGCCCTCCTCCCTGCCCTCCCGCCCGCCCACCAGCCTGCCCTCCCCAGCTCCCTGGCCCCAGGACAGCAGCCCTGCGGGTGGAGACCTGGCCCTCGAGGCCCGAGGCCCGCTGACCACACCCCTCTCCACACCCAGTACAACGAGTACGTCCACTACCTGGAGCCCTGCTTCAAGGGCACCCTCGTCCAGGCCGACCGGGACAATCGTGAGGTGGGTGTGCCGGTCCCCGCCCTCCCTGGAAACCTGGGCCCAGCCTCCCCCACGGCCTCCTCGCCCCCCCCGGCCTCCCCCACGGCCTCCTCGCCCCCCCCGGCCTCCCCCACAGGCCTCCTCGCCCCTCCCCCCGGCTCCCCAACGGCCTCCTCGCCCCCTGGACTCCCCCACATGCCTCCTCGCCCCCCACGGCCTCCCCCACGGCCTCCTCGCCCCCCCGACCTTCCCCACAGGCCTCCTCACCCCCCCGACCTTCCCCACGGCCTCCTTGCCCCCCCACGGCCTCCCCCACGGCCTCCTTGCCCCCCCCGGCCTCCCCCACGGCCTCCTCGCCCCCCGGCCTTCCCCACAGGCCTCCTCGCCCCCCCCCCCACGGCCTCCCCCACGGCCTCCTCGCCCCCCCACGGCCTCCCCGACAGGCCTCCTCGCCCCCCCGGCCTCCCCCACGGCCTCCTCGCCCCCCTCCGGACTCCCCCACGGCCTCCTCGCCCCCTGGCCTTCATCCCACAGGCTGGGGCCCTTTCTCTGATAAAAGGCTAAAGAAGACAGCATGGCATTTAGTGTGTGTGCCCCTCCTGGGACTTGAACTCAAGGCCTGGGCGCTGTGCCTCAGATTGTTTTTTTTTTTTTAACTTGAGGGTGGTGCTCTACCATTTGAGCCACAGCTCCACAACTAGCTTTTTGCTGGTTGGAGATAGGAGTCTCAGACTTCCCTGCCCAGGCTGGCTTTGAACTGTGATCCTCAGATCTCAGCCTCCTGTGTAACTGGGAGCCACCGACACACGGCCATGACACTTTGTAAAAGAGATTGCCTGTGTCCTCTGTGACTAGCCGGCTGGGGTCCCCTGAGCCCGACTTCGGCCTCGGGCTCCTCCGGTCTCCCCACTCAGAGCTGGGTGCGAGGAGCCGGGCTGACTGAGCCTGTCCCAGAGTACTGTGCGTGTGGCTTGTCCCGAGCCGAGCTTACCCAGGGCATTTGAGACGCGTCCACCGTAGGCCCAGCCCCGGGGACGTCACCCCTGTGTCCCCAGAGAGGCGTTCCCACCCGCACGTCCCTCTCCGAGTCCTGGCCAATGCTAGCGATGCTCCCACAGCACTTCAAGCAGCTGGTGGATGAGCTGATGGTCAAGGGTGTGGGAGTCGTGAGCCAGGCCCTGACCGAAGCCTTCCAGATCCTGAAGCAGGTGCAGCAGCTGGCCATGTCCCGGGGGAGCGGTGGGGGCGGGAGGGGGAGGAGGCCGTGCCCTGCCTGCCCGTGCCCTGCCGGCCGCTGCGTGCCCTGCCCAGCGCCCCCTCTGCCCACACAGTCCCGGGAGGCCGGGCGGGGCAGCCTCTGTAACCAGGCCGTCATGCTCATCACCGACGGCGCCGTGGAGGACTACGAGCCGGTGCTGGAGAAGTACAATGCACCCGACCGCAAGGTGACCCCGCTGGAGGCTGGGTGACCCCAGGAGAGGGGGCCCCGCCCGGCCCTGGGCGAACAGCCGAGGGACGCCCCACGCACCCTCAGATCTTCCCTCTAGACCCGCACCTGCATCCTGCAGGGGGTGTCCCCCATCGGGGGGGGGGGGGGGCTGTGGGATGGAGGCCGGCAGGAAGCCAGGGCCCATGGCCTGGAACCCAGGCAGAGCCCCAGCCCCGGAGAGCTGTGCGGCAGGCTTGACTGCTGCCCAGGCCCTGGGCTCCTCCTGGACCAGAAGCAGGATGTGACGGAGAGCCCGGGCCCGAGCCAGGCTGAACACCCGGACAGGGGCCCCAGCCACGGTCCCAGCCAGGACCCCCAGCTACAGCCCCCAGCCACGGCCCCCAGCCATGGCCCCCAGCCACGGCCACGGCCCCAGCCACAGCCACAGCCCCCAGACACAGCCACAGCCCCAGACACAGCCCCCAGACACAGCCCCAGCCAGGACCCCCAGCCACGGCCCCAGCCAGGGCCCCCAGCCATGGTCCCAGCCATGGTCCCAGCCAGGGCCCCCAGCCAGGGCCCCAGCCACAGCCCCCAACCACGGCCCCAGCTACGGCCCCCAGCCAGAGCTCCAGCCACGGCCCCAGCCACGGCCCCAGCCCTACTGTGCTGTCTTGTGGGCAGGTCCGGGTTTTCACGTACCTCATTGGGAGAGAGGTGACCTTTGCGGATCGTATGAAGAGGATCGCCTGCAACAACAAAGGTGAGCCTGGACCGAGCGAAGGGCCGCAGCCCATGCCCAGCCCCACAGACGCCCGTGCCCAGCCCCACGGGGCCTGCGAGGCCTCTGCCCAGGGAGCAGGGGTGAGCCTGCACCGGGCGAAGGGCCCCAGCCCGTGCCCAGCCCCGCGGACGCCGACCCCGCCCACGGGCCCGGGAGGCCTCTGCCCAGGGAGCAGGGGCCAGGCTGAGAACGACACCTCTCTGGCCAATGGAGAAGGCATCCCCTGAGGTGCTGCGACCTTCCTGCCCGTGGGTCCCTAGCTGCTCACCAGGGGCTGCTCAGGAGGCTCAGCCCTGACACCTGCAGTTTGAAAACAGCCCACACGAGACTCTTGTCTCCAGTGAACCACTCTGAGCTCAAACCGAGGGAAGAGGAGGAAGGGAGGAGGAGGAGGAGGAGGAGGAGATTCACATTTCCAGTGTCAGCTCTGTGACATCCTCCTTCATTCCTATTGATGCTGGTCAAAGACAAAAGCAAAGGGTCATCCCTTCCCTCCCCCCTTCCCTCCTCCCTTCTCCCCCCTCCCCCCACTGTGATCCTCCTGCCTCTGCCTCCCGAGCGCCGGTACAGGCATGCACCATGGCACCAGGCACCACCGCACCGGGCAGGAATGGTGTTTTCTGCACGGTTCTCCTTTCTCTCTTGGCCAGACCCCTCGCCCGGGTTTCCGGTGCCCACACAGGCTCTGCTGAGTCCACGCGATTTCACAGAGCATCGACCGTGCCCCTGGCACTGTCCGAGGCTCTGGAAGTGGACAGCGGGCAGGACCAGCGAGGGGGCCTTCCCGGAGGGGCGGGCGTGCGCCGGGGTCTGAGTCAGGAGCGTGAGGAGCAGGGAGCCCAGCGAGGCAGCCTGAGAGGCCTTTGTCCTTCTCACCATCTGGCCCCCTAAGAAGGCACGGAGGAGGCTGAGGAAATGGGGGTGCGAGTGGCCATCTTTGGCCGGATGCTGAGGACAGGCCCTAGAGGAGGCTCCAGGAGGAGACGAGGCTCCTGGGACCCCCCTTCCCCCATCCCTCGGGACCCCCAAGTTCAGGCATGGGGGAACCCTGGCCCAGGGCCACGCATGACCCTGGGAGGCGGCTGAGAGCGATGGGCAGCTGGGGGGGGACATGGCCCTGCGGGGGCCTGCCCTGCTCCCCTCTGTCCACAACCATGCCCGCCCCCCCCAGGCTACTACACCCAGATCTCCACACTGGCCGACGCCCAGGAGAGTGTCATGGAGTACCTGCACGTGCTCAGCCGCCCCATGGTCATCAACCACGACCACGATGTCATCTGGACAGAAGCCTACATGGACAGCAAGGTGGGCCTGGGGGCCTGGGGTGGGGCGGGGCCTGGGGCGGGGCCTGGAGGCCTAGGGTGGGGCCTGGAGGTCTGGGGCAGGGCTGGGGCGGGGCCTGGAGGCCTGGGTGGGGCCTGGGGCGGGGCCTGGGGTGGGCGGGGCCTGGGGTAGGGCCTGGAGGCCTGGGTGGGGCCTGGGAGTGGGGTGGGGGCTGGGGCGGGACCTGGGGGAGGAGCCTAGAGGGATGGGCGGGGCCTGGAGGCCGAGAGCAGGACCTGGGGGTGATGTTCAGAGCTGAACTCCATACTGTGGTGTGAGGCAGCAAAGCCACAGCCCCCAGGCCACCTACCCTACAAGTCCTCTGACCCCCCATCCCCTGACCCCCATCCCCTGATCCCCATCCCCTCACCCCCCATCCCCTCACCCCCATCCCCTCACCCCCAGTCCCCTGAAACCCCAATGCCCGATCCCCCATCCACCCACCCCCCATCCCTTGACCTCCCCATCCCCTGACACCCATCCCCTCCCCCCATCCCCTGGCCCCCCATCCCCTGACCCCCCCATCCCCTGACCCCCTATCCCTTCACCCTCAGTCCTCTGAAACCCCCATGCCCGATCCCCCATCCACATACCCCCCCATCCCTTGACCTCCCCATCCCCTGACACCCAGTCCACTGACCCCTCATCCCCTGACCCCCCATCCCCTGACCCACATCCCATGACCCCCCATCCTCTGACCCCCCATCACCCAAACCCCCATCCCCTGACCCCCCCATCCCCTGACCCATATCCCCTGACCCCCATCACCCGCACCCCCATCATCTGAAACCCCGATCCCCTGACCTCCCTCCCCTGACCCCTCCCCTCACCCCTTCCCCTGACCGCCACTTCCGCCCTCCTCCCTGGCAGCTCTTCACCTCGAAGGCACAGAGCCTGACCCTCCTGACCACGGTGGCCATGCCAGTCTTCAGCAAAAAGAACGAGACCGTGAGTGACGTCCGGATCTATCCTGACTCCAGGGGTCCACAGCCCTGTCCACAGCAGACGCCAGGGGTCCACAGCCCTGTCCACAGCAGACACCAGGGGTCCACAGCCCTGTCCACAGCAGACGCCAGGGGTCCACAGCCCTTCCACAGCAGACAGACGCCAGGGGTCCACAGCCCTTCCACAGCAGACAGACGCCAGGGGTCCACAGCCCTTCCACAGCAGACAGACGCCAGGGGTCCACAGCCCTTCCACAGCAGACAGACACCAGGGGTCCACAGCCCTTCCACAGCAGACACCAGGGGTCCACAGCCCTGTCCACAGCAGACGCCAGGGGTCCACAGCCCTTCCACAGCAGACACCAGGGGTCCACAGCCTTGTCCACAGCAGACAGACGCCAGGGGTCCACAGCCCTGTCCATAGCAGACAGACGCCAGGGGTCCACAGCCCTTCCACAGCAGACGCCAGGGGTCCCAGGCCAATGCTGGGAGGGGTGTGGTGTCCCTCAGTGGGCAGCAGGGTGTGAGGTGGGGGTGTGAGGTCCCTCAGTGGGCAGCAGGGTGTGAGGTGGGGGTGTGAGGTGGGGTGTGAGGTCCCTCAGTGGGCAGCAGGGTGTGAGGTGGGGGTGTGAGGTGGGGTGTGAGGTCCCTCAGTGGGCAGCGGGGTGTGAGGTGTGAGATCCCTCAGTGGGCAGCGGGGTGTGAGGTGGGGTGTGAGGTCCCTCAGTGGGCAGCGGGGTGTGAGGTGGGGTGTGAGGTCCCTCAGTGGGCAGCGGGGTGTGAGGTGTGAGGTGTGAGATCCCTCAGTGGGCAGCGGGGTGTGAGGTGGGGTGTGAGGTCCCTCAGTGGACAGCGGTTTGCAGTGATGCATTGTGGGGGAGGGGCTGGACTGGCCCGAATCTCCTCCAGCGATTCAGCTCACCCTGCCCTGTCTCCCCCTTGGGACCACTGTCTGGGGGACACCTGACCAAAGGGGTCCCCTCCAGCCCCCCAGCAAAGGTGCCCTTAGCCTACCAAGCCGGGCAGACTCTAACGTGTTAGCCAGGGCTTCTTGGAGGGAATTTCTAGAACGTTCCGGCCTCCACCTGGAGCCCTCATGCGACAGGGTGCCTGGGCTCTGCTGCAAAGATGAATATTTCATTCCGCTTTGTGTTGCACTTAAATACCAGCACTTAAATATTAACGCCCGCCATTAATCTCCCAGCTGCTGAGCGGGCTCCCGGGAATTCCTCTGGCAGCTTCCAGAGTTTTCCTCCAAGGATCTCAGCCCCGAGGGGACCTAGAGGGGAAGGTTCTGGCGAGGCGCGTGTGGGCGGGCTTTGGGGAGGCCTCCCGGGTGCTTGGCGCTCAGTACCCCGGCGCGGGATCTTCTTTGCAGCGGGCCCACGGCATCCTGCTGGGTGTGGTGGGCTGCGATGTGACCCTGCGGGAGCTCATGAAGCTGGCACCCCGCTACAAGGTGAGCCCGGGCGGGGGCTCAGGGGCCGCGGCAGTCACGGCGCGGAGCCCGACTTCAGAGGAGCGACGGGTGGATTGGGCTCAGGGTTCGGATCTCTGGTGTCGTGGCCCTGGGGCACGGCCATTACCCCAGGTCAAGCCGGAAGGGCCGGAGTCTCGCTTCCCCTTCCAGAGCAGAGCCCCAGTGGCCTAACCCCCTCCCACTCGGCCTCCCATCCTCAGTGCTCCGCCAGCAGGGCCTGGAGCCGGTGGCCCCAACAGTTGGGCCTCTGGGGACCTTCCAGCTCCCGCCTCGGCGGGCGGTGGCCACCTGGCCCGAGCTGGGACAGTCCCCCAACCTGGTCCCAGGCGGGTGGGGTGACATCACGGTCGATTGTAGCTCGTCTTCCCGGCCCTCTGCCAACCCCAACCATAACAGGTCCGTGGCCTTCGCAAGTCCTTTCTCCACCCGGTGCCTCTGTTTCTCAGCCTGCCTGTCCCTGCCCTGCTGTGTCATGGTGACATCACGGAGGGGCCCAGAATGTGCCTAGGAGGGTGGAGCCGTCATGGGCAAGGCCCTGGGCATCTGGAGACTCGGAGCCCAGGGGCAGAGCCATGGCCTTGGCTGAGATAGACCACTCTTTCAAAGACATCACTGCCAGGCACCGATGGCTCACGCCTGTCATCCCAGCTACTCAGGAGGCTGAGATCTGAGGATCTCGGTTCAAAGCCAGCCGGGGCAGGAAAGTCCATGAGACTCTGATCTCCAATAAACCACCAAAATAGCTGGAAGTATAGCTGTGGCTCTGAGTGGTAGAGCACTAGCCATGAGAGAAAAAATAAGCTCAGGGACAGGGCCGAGGCCCTGAGTCCAAGCCCCAGAACACCACACACACACACACACACACACACACACACACACACACACACGCGCACGCACACGCACACACGCACACGCACGCACACACACACGCACACACACACGCACGCACACGCACACACACACACGCACACACACACGCACGCACACACACGCACGCACACACACACACGCACACACACACACGCACACACCCACACACACACGCACACACACGCACACACCCACACACACACGCACACACACACACACACCTCTGGTCACCATCACAAACACCTGACACCCCACTCCGGCCTTGCAGCTTGGGGTGCACGGCTACGCCTTCCTGAACACTAACAACGGGTACATCCTCTCGCACCCGGACCTCCGGCCCCTGGTAGGTACACAGCCGATTTGCCTTGGGGTATGGACGCGAAGACAGGGAAGGACGGATGGGCTGCAAAGCTCCCAGAATCAGCTTAGGTCAGCAGCCGTGCGGAGTCCCCGGCCTCCATGGCAGCCTGGAACTGTGGCTCTGCTCTGAGGGGCCGGGGCGCCCCCGCTGGGGGCAGGTTAGGACGCTGCTGAGATCGCCTGGGGTCCAGGAGTCTCGCTGGGAAGGCTGGGGGGGGGCAGGAGTGGGCTCTGGGCTGTGTGCCCACCCGGCCTCCCCCTCCCCCGACCCCCCCCAGTACAGGGAGGGGAAGAAGCTGAAGCCCAAGCCCAACTACAACAGCGTGGACCTCTCCGAGGTGGAGTGGGAAGACCAGGCCGAAGCCGTGAGTGGGAAACCGGCCACTCCGGTTCACCCAACAAACCGTGTGTGTGTGGGGGGGGGTTCAGTGATCTATCCAGGGGTCCCTGGTGAGCTGGTACGTACAGCTGTCCCGGCCCCCTCCAGGCCCGGCCAAGGACCTAACAGCCACTCTCTGCTCTCCCAGCTGCGGACCGCCATGATCAACCGGGAGACGGGCTCTCTGAACATGAGCGTGAAGGTCCCGCTGGGACAGAGGGGTGAGGCGCGGGCAGTGGAGCCGGGCTGGGGTCAAAGGGAAGGCCTGGGAGGGCTGGCCGCCCCCGGCTGAGGACAGCTTGGGACCCGATGCTGGCTGCAACCCGAGGGCCGGAGCTGGCCTGGCGGGAGGGACTGCCCGCCACCCAGGGAGGGGCAGCGCCGCCCAGGGCACACAGCCTTGGAGGGAGGGGGATGTCGGGCGGGGGAGGGGGATAGATGGACATGGGGGAGGGGATGGACGGACATGGGGGAGGGGGATGGACAGACATGGGGGGAGGGGGATGGACGGATGTGGGGGAGGGGATGGACGGATGTGGGGGAGGGGATGGACGGACATGGGGAGGGGGGATGGACAGACATGGGGGGAGGGGGATGGACAGATGTGGGGAGAGGGGGATGGACGGACATGGGGGGAGGGGGATGGACGGATGTGGGGGAAGGGGGTGGACGGACATGGGGGAGGGGGATGGACGGATGTGGGGGAGGGGTGGACAAAATGTGGGGGGAGGGGGATGGATGGGAGTGGGGGGAGGGGGATGGACCGATGTGGGGGGAGGGGGTGGACAGATGTTGGGGGGAGGGGGATGGACGGGCGTGGGGGGAGGGGGATGGACGGACATGGGAGGGGGATGGACGGATGTGGGGGAGGGATGGACAGATGTGGGGGGAGGGGGATGGACAGGCGTGGGGGAGGGGGATGGACGGACATGGGGGAAGGGGGTGGACGGACATCGGGGAGGGGTGGACGGACATGGGGGAGGGGGATGGACGGACATGGGGGGAGGGGGGGTGGACGGGCGTTGGGGGGAGGGGGTGGATGGACATGGGGGGGAGGGGGGTGGACCGGGCGTTGGGGGAGGGGGGTAGATGGACCATGGGGGGAGGGGAATGGATGGGCGTGGGGGAGGGGGTGGATGGACTGGGGGAGGGGGATGGACAGATGTGGGGGAGGGGGTGGATGGACTGGGGGAGGGGGATGGACGGGCATGGGGGAGGGGGGATGGACGGACATGGGGGAGGGGGTGGATGGACGTGGGGGGAGGGGGGGTGGACGGGATGTTGGCGATGCCGCCATTGTTGGGATATCCCCTCCCGCGGTGGGGAGCTGGTAGCGCCGGCAGCAACCCCCCACGGGGCGGGTGTGGACCTGCGCCCCCCGCGCCCAGGCAGGTCCCCCCTCGGGGGTCGGACGGCGCATGGCTGTGGTCAGGGGAGAGCCAGGCCGGCCCCGGCAGCCTCCCCCGCCCCCGGTCAGCACCCTGTCCTTCCTGCCCTGTCCTCCAGAAGCGCATCCTCTTCCTGACCAACGACTACTTCTTCACAGACATCAAGGAGACCCCTTTCAGGTGAGGAGCTGGGGAGGTGGGGGGAACTTCCAGGCTTGGACGACAGCACGGGTTGGCCGTGTTGTGGGAATTTTCCAGAAACCAGGTCTAGGCCTCCTTACCAGACTAGCTAAGTCCTGCCGGCCTCAATCTCGACTCCACCACTCGGAGCCTGAGTGACCTTAGTGGAGCGCCTTGACCACTCTGTGTCTTGTGGGGGGGGGGGTGGATGGCGGCTACTTCCTGGCAGGGCTGGGGAGGAGGGGGTACACGGGTGGTCTCCTGGTACAGATCTTTGCCTCTGTTGCTCCCCAGTGAGACGTCACCCCTCCAGGGGTTGTGATAGCCCAGGGGGCTGGTGCTCCCTGGGATTTCTAGAACCTTCTCATGAAGACGGGCTGTGACGGGCAGGGTGGC